TCCGGCGGGGAGGGTAGGGAGGGGCTTCGCCACGATCACTACGATGTTCGATTTCCTTATGCATGGGTCGGCTTGGCTGGCGCGGAGGAGGAGGAGGAGGAGGAGGAGGAGGAGGAGGAGGAGGAGGAATGTTCGATGTCCTTCTGCATGGGTCGGCCTGGCTGGCGAGGAGGAGGAGGACGACGAGGAGGAGTAGGAGGAGGGGGAGGAGGAGGAGGAGGAGGAGGAGGAGGAGGAGGAGGAGCAGGAGCAGGAGCAGGAGCAGGAGCAGGAGGAGGAGACAACGACGACGAGCCACACGGAAAGCCCCTCACACACGCCGACAGGGTCGGCGGATTCTAGTGCAGTTGTCTCATGACGTCGTATCTCAGGGTGTGTCTCTGCGGCCTTCCATCCTCAGGATGCTCTCTCCAGCATAGCTTTAAGTCGGGCCTGTCCTTCTACAGGAGGGATATTCAAAACTAGTAAAAAAAGGTCCGGGGACGAGTTGTTCACCATTTTGACTATTTTGGGGTATGTTTTGATTTTTGTTCCATCTGTCGTCCAAAACCCGCCCGTAGGGGGACATGCCCGACCTAAGCACAGCTGCGCCTCGGCGAGGGCGCTCCTGGCTCTGTGCACGAATCGTCGCCCCGAGCGGCCGCCGAAGGACCGCGCTACGGCCCGAGAGCCAGATTCCTCCGCGGTGTGGCAAGAACACGGCGGGCGCCACACGCCGTACGCCGGAGCGCGTGGGCGCAAGAAGGCACCGGGAGCCTCGAGACGGGGGTCGAGGCAAACGGGGGTCAGCCAGAGCGCCCCGATCTCGTAGGATCCTGCAGGGCCAGGGTCGCATTGACCAGGGCTTGGGCGCAGGATCCTGCAGGATCCTTCGCATTGATCCCAGCTTGGGCGCAGGATCTTGCAGGATTCTGCAAGGCCTGGCTGGCCCGGTGTGGATTGACCCGGGTCAGAAGGTCCCCTAAGACAGGGCTTCGGTAGCAAATCATGGGAGCCTTGTATACCCTGACAATTCCGTCTTCAGCGTCGATTAGCGTCTGGGAGTCGATGAGATAGCGCCGATGTAGCGTCGGCTAGCGGCTAGCGTCGACTAGCGCTGGTTTAGCGTCGACTAGCGTCGACCAGCGACGATCAGCATCGATTCGCCAGAGCCGACCGCGATTGTATGGGAGGCCCCCATTAGTTCATTAGTTGCCACCGAGCAGGGCCAGCCTTTTCTCACCGCTTTCCAGGAGCGGCGGCACGACGGCGATCGCATGATTCACATCGTGCGCGGCAAGAGGAATGGGAAGGAGGGAGGACAACCAGCTGGCGAATGATGCCAGTTCCCTTCGCGGTGTGTCAAAAACACGGCGTGCGGTTTTTGGCCTTTTTCTGGTGCTGGGGGCCCCTCCGCGCTCTGGCCCTGCGCGCCTGGCTGCTGCTTCCCCCCCCCGGCTGCGCATCGTCGAACCCTTCGGCGCCTGAGCGTCCCTTCTTCCTCTCGGCCGTTCCCCCCCTCCTCTCTTCGCCCGCCGGCCAATGCTCAGGCGATCGCAAAAATGGATCAAGGGGACGTGGATTAGCGACGGGTCCCGCTTCCATGGGAAATCGCGGATTTCCGCCGCCAGACGAGACGGCACCGGCCGCGTTTTAATCCATGTCTGCGCGCCCCCGATTTTTGCCCGCCGGCCACTTCGCCGGGGGGGCGGGGAGGACAGAAATCCAGAAGATCGTAAAAGTATTGGGAATTCTGGGATTTGTGTTTGTTCATTTGTGTGTGCCCCAGGGCCTCTTCCAATTCGCTGGTCCGCGCCCCTGTCCGGCGTTTCGCCGGAGCGGAGTTCGGCGCCTCGCCGCCGACGAAAGAAATTGTTCTCGGGGGCCCTCTCACGGGGCCCCGGCCGTCCAGGAAGGACCCGCAGGCGGGCAAACGGGCCCTGGGGAAGCGGTGGACGGGGCTAGGACGATAATGATATATATATAGAGAGAGAGAGAGAGAGAGAGAGAATTATATATAGGGGAAACACACAGACACAAGTAATCGTCGATCCCCAGGAAAATGTAGGAAACATGGGACGCACGCCCAGAACGTATGGAAACACTGGGGAATTATGGGATTTGTTGTGTATCCCTGGGCCCCTTCAAAATATCCGTTCCAGAGCGTTCCGGAACGCTCTCAGAGCTGAACGCTCTGAACAGGCTGCGGCGCCCGATACATCCCTCAGAGCCGCAGGATCCCAGAGATTCTTGATTTGTCTTCACCTGAAGTTGTCCTCGTCCTGGCTTCGTCGAGGCTTTGCAGTCTGAAGGGGTTGCTGCTCACCAGTGCCTCTGTAGGGCCGTTTTTGTCCAGACCCAGAGCCTACATTGTTGCCTCACTTTTGGGCCCTCGGCGGAGGGTGGGAGATCCACGGGGGGGATCGATGATACATGGAATTGGGCCCCGAAGGGCCCTTCACCTGCGTATGAATCGGGCAAACTTGAGACTCGAGTGCTCCAGAATTCGGAGTTGCCGACGCTGGAACTGTCCTCGTGACCCAAAAGGGGTTCCAGCTGAAAGGGGGTGGTGCAATATATTGGAGAGGCCTGTCGGCCGGTGCCGCCGACCCTGATCGAAGGGGCTAATTGAGGAGGGAGGAGGAGGAGGAGGCGAGGAGGAGGAGGAGGAGGAGGAGGAGGAGGAAGTGGAGGAGGAGGAGGAGGAGGAGGAGGTGAGAAGGAGCAGGAGTAGGAGAAGAGGACAAGGAGGATGATGATGATGAGTAGGAGAAAGAGAAGGTGGAGGGGGAGGAGGAGCAGGAGGAGGAGGAGGAGGAGGAGGAGGAGGAGAATGGGGCGGAGGATGAGGACGAGAACCTCCTCGCGACGCCCTCCGGGCTTTCTCGAAGGCTGCCGGGGGAGTCGGATTTGGGGGGGGGGGGGGCCCCCGGGTGGGCCCGGGGACCCCCCCGGGCCGCCCCCGGGACCCCCCCGGGACCTCCCCGGGTCCGGCCCTCCCCCCCCGCACTGGGGAAGGGAAAAGGGAAGGGGCTTCCCATCGAAGTATTGGCAACGTTCATTCAAGTGCGTGGCATGGCATGTTCAAGGAAGAGGACTCTGTTGACGGAGAGCGGGAGAACGGTGAGTGGAAGTTGGATGCGGCCAGAGATTGTCGAGCAGGAAAGAAAGCACGACGCGAACGGAGAAGTTGCGCCAGATAATTGTATTGCATTGTATTGCAACAAATGCATAGCACGCGAAAATCCAGCAATACAGTTTCCCCCGGAATGTATTGCACGCCCCAGATCTATTGCAACCCCACAAATCAATCAACCAAATCTATTGCACCACCCCCTTTTCGCTGGACTTCCTTTTTTGGGTTAACCAGAATCTGACCCCCAAGACCCTTGAACTGCACTGAGACTGGAGTGCGCCGGAGCTCGAGATTGCCAACGCTTATTGACGAGCCCGTCCTGGATTCAGACGGTCCAGTTTTCGTGGGATGTTTGCAGTGGGAGATCGCGTTGAAGTTTTCAGACTGGGTCTTTTCATTTTCATGATGGCACCATCAGGCCCACCCGAGTCCCCCGAACCCGAGTCTCACTTCTTCCGTCGGCTTCCGCCTCCCGCACCTGCCGGAGGGCACTTGTTGCCGCGCAGCGGCGGCCGCCGTCGCGGCCGCGGTCGAGGCCGCCATCGAGGCCGCAGAGGCGGTCTTGGCGGTCTCCACGCCGCGCCGCGGCGGGAACTGCTGCGCGGAAGGTCCGGAAGGTGGAAGTCAGGGGAAGGTAGCCATACTGCTACCCGTCCCTCGTTTTCCCCTTCTTGGGCCTCCTGGGAGGCCCTAGTGGCCACCGCTGCTGCCCCTCCACTGGCTGCACTCGCAGAAGGAAAAGCGGCACAAACATAAACTTTTGGCGTTCCGCGCGGGTTTCTTGGATCCGCGCTGGGCCCCCCTGGCGGCGCCTCGGGCGCCGCCCCTGGCGCGCCAGCTCAGACCCAAGAAATCCGCGCGGACCGTCAAACGTTGGTACTTATGCCCTTCTGCGTCCCACGTGGGGGTGACCCTTGGCGGAAGTGACCTTCGGTGCGGGTCCAGAGGGGTCCCAGTGCCATCCCTGTTGGCCATCCTTAATTCTCTGGTGTCGCATTTGCTCAGACATTCACGATAAGGCGCTCTTTGACCCCATCGAACTAGGTCATCCAGCTATCCTGCTGCGGTGTATACTTGTACTGATACGCGTGTTCAACTGGCTGCCAAACGGCATCGCGAACAGTCACAGTGACATGATATGCCAGAGGAGGCTTCACCACCGGGTTGGCAAGATTTCTTCCGCACAGGCCTGTACATATGAATGTGTTGTGCAATGTTTGATTGCTGGGCTTGTGCGCTTGGACTTGGCACCACCGCGGCCCCCTAAAGCCGCGCCCCTCTTGTCCAGGATCTCTCTCCCAGGCATCCTTTGTCATGACTTGTTCCCATACGCGGTCCCCGGAAGTCCCACAGGGGCACGTTCTCTTCCCGAGCCGTTCCTTGATGGCCACGGGGCCCGGCAAGGGCCCCCGGAGGCCAAGAATTGCGAAATGCCGTCGCCTCGATTGGTAAGGCCTTACGGCCAGTGCCGCCGACCCTGAAGGGGGACGACGACGACGACGACGACGACGACGACGACGACGACGACGACGACGACGACGACGACGACGACGACGACGTCGACGACGACGACGACGACGACGACGACGACGACGACGACAGCGACGACGACGACGACAGCGGCGACGGCGGCGGCGACGGCGGCGGCGACGACGACGCCGACGTGGGGCAGAGTCCCCGGGGATGCTTCGTGGGGCCTCGTCGGAGGGCGCCCGCGGGCCTCCTGGGGGGCAGCCCTGGGGCGACGTGCCGCCGCCTCGATCCGCTCGATCCACCGCCTCGGGCCTCTCGGGGCTCTTGCGGGCCTGCCGAGCTCCAGGCGGCGCGGGGCCGCCGCGCGGCAGGCCGCGCGGCCCGCCGCGGGGTGCCGCGGGAGCTCGCCGCGGGCGCCCGCGGGCGCCCGCAGCTGCGGCCGCGGGCCCCTGCTCCGGCGGATCGCCGCCGCGTGGCCCGCCGCGCCTGCGCTGCAGGGTGCCGCCGCGGCGGCGGGAGCGGAGGACTCGGAGGAGCAAGAGGCACCGACCCTGGCAGCCTCGCGTCGTGAGTTGATGCGAACGAGAGAGGAGGAGAAGGAGGAGGAGGAGGAGGAGGAGGGTCGAGGAGGAGGAGGAGGAGGAGGGTGGAGGAGGAGGAGGAGAAGGAGGAGGAGCGTCGAGGAGGAGGAGGAGGCGGATGACGAGGACGAGGAGGAGGAGCGTTGAGGAGCGTTGATGATGATGATGATGATGAGGAGGAGGAGGAGAGGAGGAGAGGAGAAGAGGAGCGCTGAGGAGGGTCGCGGAGGAGGAGGAGGAGAAGGAGAAGGAGGATGAGGAGGAGGAGGAGGAGGAGGACGAGGAAGAGGAAGAGGAGGAGGAGGAGGAGAGGAGGAGGAGGAGGGGGAGGAGGAGGAGGAGGAGGAGGAGGAAGATGATCCGGCACAGGGGCCCCCCGGAAGAGCCACGTGGGTCGCGGGGGAGGGTTTTTGTTCATTTTCGGCAAGGGGCTTTCTCTGTGCCCCGGGGCCGCAAATAATTATTCTCGGGATGGAAAATTTGAGTTGTTTGTTTTTCCTCTCCAGCGTAGCGCCCGTTACCTCCCCCGGGTAACGCTAACGATCGTGCTGTGGGAAGGGGGCGCCTGGCCCCCCCCCCCCTGCACGCTGGGAGCGGACCCCCCGCAGGTATGGTGCTGTGCTCACAGGCATGGCGTGGTCTGAACGTCACGCATTGATGCTCACAAACGTATTGTGGCGCTCGTACTCGTCGTCGTCGTCGTTGTCGTCCAATGCAGCTGGCGATGGCTGAGCTACCGCAGGCTGGTTCGACCACTTTTCCTCAAGTGCAAAATGCGGCGGCTCTCTCTCTCTCTCTCTCTCTCTCTTCCTTCTGGCCCATGCTCGGTTGCAGTGCGATCCTGTCAACGCGCCTAAAAAGGACGCGCGCTTTCTCTAGGGTAACCTTGTGTCCTTGCCTCTGCGTCCTGTCCTTTGCCGCTTTGATTGGCCAGCCTTTGCAACAACATCCCAACGTCGGCTTCCAAGGGTCTTGCGTCCTAACCACCCGTCCTTCATGCACGTATTGGTTGTAGACCCAACGCCATGGAACAGATGAAGACTCGGCGGCCTCGCGCCTTCTCCCGCAGGCGTTGTGGTGTGCGCAGGCGCTGTGGTTCACGCAAGCAGCGTGGTGCACACCATTGCGGTGTGCGCAGGCGCTCTGGTGTACGCAAGCGCTGCGGTGCACGCAGGCAGTGTGGTGTACACCGACGCTGTGTTGCACGCGGCTGCTGTGGTGTACGCAGGCGTTGTGGTGTACGCAGGCGTTGTGGCGCACGCGTGTAGAATCCTCAGGCGCTCAAATTTCCATAAGGATGCTTTCACAACGTAGATGTAAAATGTTTGTTTACTGTGGAACCCAAAGGCGCCCCAGTTTCCAGAAGGATTCCTTTATCAAACAAAGGTTTCCTGTGGAGTCCACAGGAGCCTCGTTTTCCACAGCGGCGTTCCTTGTTGTTCTTTCCAAGAATAAATGAAACATTGAGGTGTTGTGGAATCCGGAGGCGCTCCATTTTCCATATGGTTTTCTTCAATACTCCTATGACAAACAATGGTTGTTTGTAGAACCTCATTATAGACATTGGTCGCTGCAGTATACACCGGCATTGCGGTGTGCATGGGCGACGTGGTGTTGCAGTGCGCTTGGGTGTTGTGGTGTACGGAGGCATTGTGGTGTGTACAGGGGCGCTGTGTTGCACGCAGGCATTATGCTTTGACGTGTGCACGGGGAGTGCGGTGCACACGGGCGATTGATGCGCTGGTGGCGCGGACAAGCCGTGGCGGGCGCACGCCGCGGCCGTCGTTATTGTTATCCTCCCGCCCGCCCCCCCCCTCAGGGTAACGGCCGTTACCCAGGAAAGAAACAACAACACAACAAACGGTCACAAAGCCGGTGCCAAGGAAGGGATCGAGTCCTTTTTGGGGGGGGTGCGTCATGAAAGCATCACGACGTCGGATGTCCAGGGATACTGCTACCCTTCCCTCGGTTTGGCATTCTTGTGCCCCTTGGGAGGCCCTTGTCGCCACGGCTGGATTCGCCCCAAAATCCTGGTCAGACTGCTCCCCGGGCGCGGTAGCGGTACTTTAGTGACTCAGTGGCCCCTTCAGGACGAGGCCTTCGTCCGCATGGTAGACGCCGAGAACTACATAGCACCTGAGGTCGGCCTGACTCGGACAGCAATGCTCGTAACCGTGGTCGGCGGCGAGCGAGGGGGGGAAGTGAGAAGAGGCGGGCCTTCTCAGAAAGACATGTTCCATGCCTCTTCCCCGAAGGCACAGGACGCCTCTCAGAGGGCACGAGGGCTTTGAGAAGTCCCGACGCCTTCTGACAGGGCCTTTTCATTCTCATTTCCCCCCCTCGCTTGCCGCCGACGTCTCCCCCCTCAGTGGTGGATCCGTGTGGGGGGGCGCGCGTCGGAGGGGCGGCGGGCGTCAGCAGCCTTGCGAGGCCCGGACTGACATTTGAAGAAGCCCGACGCAGGCGACGACGACGACGACGACGCCGCGACGACGAAGACGACGACGACGATCACGGACGACGACGTGTGCGTCGCCCCCGAAGGGGCCACGCGCGCGCCAAGAAATCCTTTAGCGTATGCTCTGCAGCGGGCGCTTTCTGGCCGTACCGCTCGGGAAACGATGCACTGCACGATGGATGTATCATATTTTTCGGCTCGGTCGCACGCCTCCGAGGAGGACACGTAGTATCGAATGGCTTTCGGCTCTTCCCGCCACCGTGCCTAGGTTGTGGATATGAAGTCTATTGACTGTTCGCTGGGATCTCGTAGCAGGCCTCTTGGGGGGCTCTTGAGGCAGTTCGGAGGCCTCTTGGGGGCCGTTTGGGGGCCTCTTGGGATATAGTTTGGGCCTCTTGTGGGCTTCTCGGGGTCTCTTGGGTGCCTCTTGGGGCCTCCTGGGCGTCTCTTGCGGCCTTCTGGGGGCCTCTTGGGGTGGAAGGCTCGGATTTTCAGGTCGTGTTCCCTCTCTGGGCCACTTTTGGCTTCTTGTGCCGTCTTCGAGCGTCGAGAAACCGAAAATGCGAGAACGCCTAAATCCTTCGAACACCTAAGCAACATCAAAGGTTGTTGCCTCTGGAGGCCCTCTTGGGAGGCCTCTTGGAGGCCTCTTTGGGCGTCTTGGAGGCCTCTCGGGTCTCCTTGAGGCCCTTTTGGGCGTCTCGTGCCGATTTTTGGGCGCCTCGGGGCCCTCTTGGGCTGTCTTGCCACCGCTTGGCAAAGCCCATGGTGGGCACGCGGGAAGCCCTGGGGACACGCGCCAAGCCCCCGGGGGGGTTCGGAGGCGGAGGAGGAGTAAGGAGGAGGAGGAGAGAGGAGGAGGAGGAGAAAGGAGGAGGAGGAGAGGGAGGAGATGAAGGGAGGAAGAGATGAAGGGAGGAGGGGGAGGAGGAGGAGGAGGAGGAGGAGGAGGAGGAGGAGGAGGAGGAGGAGGGAGGAGGAGGAGAAGGGAGGAGAAAGGAGGAGGAGGAGGAGGAGGAGGAGGAGGAGGAGGAGGAGGAGGAGGGAGGAGGAGGAAGGAGGAGGAGGGAGGAGGAGGAGGAGAGGATGAGGAGGAGGAGGAGGAGGAGGAGGAGGAGGAGGAGGAGGAGGAGGAGGAGGAGGAGGAGGAGGAGGAAGAGGAGGAGAGGGGAGGAGGAGGAGGATGAGGAGGAGGAGGAGGAGGAGGAGGAGGAGGAGGAGGGGGCACGCGTCAAGCCCTGGGAGATGCGAGAGTGAGGGGCCCAGGCCCCCTCGAAGACCTTGCAGGAGCGAGGATTGAGGCTGAGAGGACTGGGCCCAGGAACCGAGGGCACGCCCTCCTCCTCCTCCGGCCCGAGGGCACGCCCTCCTCCTCCTCCTCCTTTTCCTCCTCCTCCTCCTCCTCTTCCTCCTTCTCCTCCTCCTCCTCCTCCTCCTCCTCATTCTCCGCCTCGTCCTCCTCCTCCTCCTTCTCCTCCAGTGCTTTTCCTTCTAAATGATTTCTACCTGTCGCACCCCGAGGCCAGTTTTTAGGGCGGGCCGGGCGTTTCGCCTGACACATCTTCACCATTTACGACTCTGAATCATAGAGTTTCACAGATGGAGGGCGGGTCGTTCTCAACATGTGGCTCTCGCCTTAGCTCCGCGCACACTCGTTTTCAACACTTGCAAGAGCTTCACGGATTGAGGGCGAGTGGTTTTCAGAATGCGGTTGTCGCTTTAGCGCGGGGCAACTTTGTTTTATTAAACAGTCGCAGAAGTTTCGCGGATTGAGGGCCAGTGGTTTTGATAATGTGGCTCTCGCTTTAGCGCAGCGCGCATTCGTTTTAATCATATTGCAAGAGCTTCACGGATTGAGGGTTGCTCTTTTTCAAACTGTGGTTCTCGCCCTAGCGCCGCGCACGTTCATTTAAAAATGTTGCAAGGGGGTTTCCGGATTTTCATCATCAACGTACTGGACATTGTATGTTGGAAAGATTTTGGATTATGCGGGCGCAACAGTTACGTTGCTTCTCTGTGTTGAAGTCCTAGCATTGGCGTTCTGGCACGACTCCGGATCGTCAAAACGCACCAGTCAGGTTGATCCGTGGCGTTGTAATATCGAGAACAATGTTTTGGTATGCCTCAGGGTTTTCAAACGGGTGTCTTCCAACGACGCAGTTCCATCAATGGAAATGAACCGTTGTAGGGGCCTATGAAGAGGGAGCTTGGAGGGAGGGTTCACGCCAGCATCGTTGATGACTCTTGGGTTTACACTGGTCCTTCTCCTCCTCCTCCTCCGTGGCGGACGGCAGGCTCGGAAGTATTTCTCCTCACGCCACTCCAGGGCCCCAACATCATCCGAGGGACAAACGGAGGCTTCTGCGCCAAACCGCGTCCGCATCAGCGGGCGCGCGGTCCAAACGCCCCCCCCATAAGATTCTACACGGGTTTCCGCCTGCGGTGGGCCTCTGGGGTGACCCATTCTTTTAACGAACATTTGATTATACAGAGTGGATGGAGCGTGGTTTGGGCGATTTTGCTTGGGACGTCCTCAAAATCTGCATGGTTTGGCCACTGGTTTGTCTCTGGTTTGGCCTGGTTTGGTCGCGCGCCCCGCCTGAGACATCCTTGCAATTTGCCTGGTTTGACCGCTGGTTTGGTCTGGTTTGGGCCCGGTCTTCGCTTCAGAAGTCCTAGGCGTTTGCCTGGTTCGGGCGTGGTTTAGGCCCGGTGTTGCTTGAGACGTCATCGACATTTGCCTGGTTTCGCTTTGGTTTGGCCAAATCTGGGCCCCTGAGACGTCCTCACAAGTTGCCTGATGTTGCTCTGGCTTGTTTTGGTTTTGACCCGCTTTCGCTTGAAATATCATAAGAAGGTGCTTGCTTTCTCTCTCATTTGGTAGCATCCGTTATGGTCGCCATGCGGCCCAACACACATTGAATGTGTCATTTGTTTTGGGCATTGCATGGTGAGTTCGCACACGTGGTGGTGGGCATTTCAATCCCCAAGTAGGCAGGGTGTCGTGAATACCCACTGGGGCCCACATGCAACACGACTGCGCTTCAAAATGGCTGGCGGCATTGGTGTGGACATTCCCAACACGTTGGTGACATTAGGAGGAAGCCTTTCCGAGGCTGCATTTAGATCCTGCTGCGTCCCATTCGGCACGCCTGTCGAATGCGCCGTTGTTTCGTTAAGGCTTTCTGGGTGGGTCGTCGGCGGGACGTGGGCGGACTGCGGGTGGGTCGCGGGTAGGACGACGACGAGATTTACCAGTTTGAAACATATCCCTATCCCCAATCATGTTTGGCCTCACCTGGCCTCGGTGCCAGTCTTGGGAGTTCCTTCAGTTTCTGAGGGCGCAGCCCTATGATTGTCAACGCCTTTGGCTTGCCGATCTTAGAGATAGGGATCAGTCCGACGCTGGGTAGAGACAAATGCCCACCGCGGATGTCCACTTCAGCCACCACCCATCGACGTCGTCCGACCGTTCGGTCCCCTGGCTCTACCTGTGTGAGTTGCCTCTGCGGGAGCGACGCGCACAGGGAAGCATCTTGCAGATAAAAGGCGCCCCTGGCGGGCGTTCTGGTCGGATTTACGTTTTTCTGGGGGGGGGGGCGCATGGTTTTTGTTGGTCCCAAGCTCCACGAGGCGCGGACGTATTTGGAGGTGTTGTGCAAGAAGGTCGAGGCTGCCACTGGCACCAAGCTCTTCGTCGTAGCCCCACCTCGCAAAGCTCTGCCGAACGGGGACGACCTCACCGACTACCTGAGGGATGTGAAAAAGAGGGTCGGCATCGACAAGTCGAGCGTGGTCATCAACGTGGGCTCGAACGCGTCCCCGAAGCAGTATAAGCTCCACGGTGTGACCAGGGGCGGGAAGGTGAAGGAGCAGTACCAGTTCAAGCTCACGTCGGACCAGCTGGACGCGGTGGTGAGCCGCTTCGGCACCAGCGACGCCGTGCAGAGGTTCAACCCGCAGGGGGAGAAGTGGAGGGGGCGGCCCTCCCCCGGCTTCGACAAGTCCGTGGTGCTCGTGGCAGAGCAGGTGCCCACGGGGGCCCCCAGACGGTGCGGTGACCACACCGCGTGGCGTGCTGAGCCAGTGGGCATCCGGGGCGACCGCCCGGTCTTGGGCCTCGGGCTAAGTCGGGCTTGTCCTTCTACAGGAGGAAGATTCAAACATCGTTGAAAAGATAGTCGGGGGACGATTTTGTGAGTATTCGTTTGAGCATTTTGGGGCATTCATTGGGTATTTTTTAACTCTTCCTGCAAGATTCGCCTGTAGGGAGACACGCCCGACCTAAGCCTCGGGCTGTTCTCCGAGGACGGCCCGGGCGACGGGGGCCTCCAGGGTCCCAGCACCGTGCGGCGGCGGACCGCGCGGCGAGGTCGCTGTGGAACGTCGAGCGCTCACCGCACGGTCCGTCGCCGCACCGTGCTGGCACCGGCCCGGCAGGTTGGCGCCTGCATCGCGCTGGCGCGCCGCAGGAGCACGGAGTGCAACATCCAGCCGCTGGCGGAGGATCGGATGGGCCCTCCTGCCCTGACCCCCTCGAGTCATGAAACAATCACGACGGGAGGTTTTTGGTCATCTTCGGCCGCTGGGGGCCCTTGCTGGGCCTCGGGGCGGTCAAACAACGACTCTGGAGGTAAAGCCGGTCCATGAGAATGGAATGGGTCCGGACCTTCGGGGTTCGCGTCATGAAAAAATCATGACGTCGGGGGTCTGGGTGGCAAGGCCTCGGGCTGCGCGCAGACAGCCCTCCCAGGCCGTCCCGGCTGGGCTCAGCGGGCCCCCCCCCGAGTATCCCAGCTGGCCTCCACAGCCCCACCCCCCGAGTAGTCCGGGGCAGTCTCAACACCCTCGCGCTGCCTCTGGCGGCGCCACTGGGGCGCTCCGCACCCCGGGGCTCGGGTGTTGAGATTGCCCCGGGCTATTTGGGGGGGCTGTCGAGTGCCAGCTGGGGCTACTCGGGGGGCCTGCTGAGGCCAGCTGGGACGGACTACCTGGGGAGGGGGGGGGGGTCTGCGCGCAACCCGAAACCTTACCAGCTAGGCCCTCAGGCCGTCGCGGCCGCCCCCGACCTCGTCGCTCAGGCGTGTTCTCGGCTCGGTCGGTTCGGCTGCGTCGTAGTCGGGTGCGAGCGGCCGCTGTTGGCTCGGTCGGTCACATCGTGTCGCGGCTGCGACGTTGCGACCCTGCAGGCTGCCTGCGGCCTGTAGATTTCGGTCGGCTTCGGCCTCGCTGGTTCGGTCGGCGCTCGGCTTTGCTGCCGCCCTGGACGGCCTTGGCGTTCGTCATCACTCTCACAGGTGTGGTCCGAGCGCATGGGGCATGGGATCGGGGGATCGCGCCGTTTTCGCCAATGCGTTGGCGATGCGGCTCGATCTGGCGCGCGGTGTTCTCCTCGCCGGCGTCGCCCATGCATCGCCGAGGTCGCCGATAATTTGTCGGCGATGCGGCGCGATCCTCCGACCCCATCTGCTCGAGGCCCTTGGGCGGCCGCTACATTACCACCCCGGAGTCCCCATGTCGCGGACGGTAAACATGTCCGTATTCACGGCCTCGCGGTCTGGATTCGCTGGCCGCGACCCCATGGGTACAGGGCGGCTTGTTGCGGGTGACTTGCGCGAAGCGAATACATGGGATCGCATAGCCATTGGATCGCGCCACGGTGTCCAGGCCGCGCGGGCATGTTTTATATGGATCGGTGCGCGGTTCGTGTTTATAAATGCCACCAGGGGCCTTCAGCAATCCAACAAGGGATGCGCTCATGGATATTCAGGACGGGTGCGAGGGAGAGGGAGAAACACATGAAAGTCACATCGGCCTCTGAAATCAAATGGTCGTGAGATGATTGTGGAATTTTCAGGTCTCAAGAATTTCGGCATGATTATTGATGATCCCCCTCCAAGGTAACATGTGTTTTTTCATTTGAAGCGGCCCTTCGCAGTCTCGAGCCCGAGCCCTATTTTTTACAAGGGAAGTCTTGGGGGTCAAACTGTGCGCCTAGCCTCCTGTTTACAACAACAGCGGCTCCCGCTTGATGCATCCCCACACTTTGTTCAAAATCGGCCTCTCGTGCGGGACGTCCTCACAATTCGTCCAGGGATCGCGCCTTCGCGTGGGACTTCCCAGCAAGTTATCGGGACGCCGCGCGCCCGACACTCAGGAATCGCGCCCTCTCGCTGGCTGTCCTCACGATCTACTTGGGAAGCGTGCCATCGATCGAGAGCTCCTCGCGGTTCACGCATGGCTTACGCTTGGGCGACCCGTCCCACCGACCTGGCGCTGCCCGGGCCTGCTCGCTGGACCCGCCCTCTCAGGGGGTCTGCCCGCCCGAGCCGCCCGTCTGGTTCTGCCGCTTGTTCTCCTGCTCCTAACGCCCTCTCCTGCTGATCTCGCTCTCCATCCTTCTCGCTCCCCTCTTGTCCCTTCCCTTCTCCCTCCCTCCCCCTTTGGGTTGGGATGGGACTGACTGGTCTGAACTTGTTCACTTGGTGCCCGTGCAGATGACTTTTATGAGCACTCTGCTAGCTGCAGCGCCGCCTCTACGTGACAGCCAGATGGTTCAACACGCGCGCAATCCAAAACATCCCCCTTTTTCCTTCGGGGCTGCGCCAACCACGCGCGGCAGGTATACCCCCCAAGCGGGGGGGGGGTACGGTCGAAGACGGAGAGGGCGGGTATCGAGGGACTGGGATTTACAATGCACGTGCTATTGACACGCGAGCAGATGAGAGCGAACAGTCTTATATGGATTGTCTGTATTGTTGTTGTCGTCGTCCTCGCCTGCGGTCCCCCTGCGCCCTACCCGCCCGCGATTCCCCCTCCCGCGCCCGATCCCTCACTCTCATCCGCGATTGCGGAGTGCTGCGTAGTATGGATATGTTCGCGGCGCCTGACTGCACATGCCACCAGCGCCACCCCCCAGAAGCCAGAGAAGTATGAGCCGAGCGTGCTCTCGAGGCTCGATGGGCGAGAAGGGGCGCGGTGCACGCCCTCGCCGGGCCACGCGGGGGAGACGCCCCCCCCCCGATCTGGGCGGTCAGGCTGCAACTCCTGTGAGGTTGGATCCAGAACCGGCGCTGGTATTCGCAGACGAAAACACGATCAGGCACAACCACCCAGGCCCAGTGAGAGCTTCTCCTCCTCCTCCTCCTCCTCCTCCTCCTCCTCCTCCTCCTCCTCCCCCTCCTCCCCCTCCTCCCCCTCCTCCCCTTTCTCCTCCTCCTCCTCCTCCTCCTCCTCCTCCTCCTCCTCCTCCTCCTCCTCCTCCTCCTCCTCCTCCCAAACACTGTTGGCGCTCCGCGCGGATTTCTTGGACCTGCGTTGTGGCCCCCCCCAGGCGGCGCCTCGGGTGCAGCCCCTGGCGCGCTCCGCGCGCCGGGCAGGGGGGGTCAAGACATCCGCGCCAGCGCGGATCCGAGAAATCCGCGCGAAGCGGCGACAGTTTGTGTTCATGCCGTTTTTTTTGTTCCGCTGGATGTGTCTCTGGTCGGAAACAGGCGAAGTCTGCTCCATTCCCTCCCCATCCAGCGCAGTTCCACTCGCTTTGGCTTCATCCCGCGGAGTCCGGCTTGATCCCGGGCTTGATCTGGCCTGATCCGGCTCAGGGGCCCCTACCTCGGGCCGAATAGCCCCTTAGCGTTCTGACGAAGACCTCCCAAAAGGGGGGCGCTGTCGATGTCCGTCAGTATCGTTTAACTGGCCCATATCCCCTTCCCTTTCCTATCCCCATCCCGAGCCCCACCATCTCAGCACCCCAGTTGGGAAAACACCAATCGAAACGCGGTCTATATGTGTCCATCTGGGGGGGGTAAATCGGCCAGTGGGGCCCAGGCCACGCCCATGGGGATAGGGATCGGCGAAACGATGCTCATTCCAAAGCCTCCCAGGACTTGAAGCTCGGTGAGATGCAGCGAACGCGGTCTGTGTTTCTGGGGCGGTGGAGGACGGGGCAGCGCTCGTCGGGTAAGAGCAAGCCTAAGCGCCCAGTCGTCGGTACGAGCAAACCTTGGATCAGAGCTTCTCCCGAAGGGGGTCGTAAGGGTTGCGATTGACGGATCAAGCGTGCCCGCCGACCGTACGTGCTAGGATTCGGCTTTGGAAACAACGCTCATGCCGCCAACATCGCAGAGCGGATTTCGTTCGGATTTCAATCGGATGGACCCGGAGAGTCCTGGAGAATTTCGTTCCGGATTTTGAAGTGAATTTCGCGCGAATTTTATTTTGGCCAGGAATGAAGACTAACCAAAAACCCACGCGAAAATAATGTCGTCTTTCACTCGCCGTTTCGGGGTTTTGAAGTTTCGGGGTTTGGAATTGACAGTCCACGCAAAAATCCGCTGCAGCACGTCTGCAAGGTCGGTGCAGTGACAACGCTGCCCCCCCCAGCGACCTCCCACCCAGGACGTCGACGGTAAGAGATCAGAACTTCTCCCTGAGGGGGTCGCAGGGGTTGCGATTGACGGATCAAGCGTGCCCGCCGATCGTACGTGCTGGGATCTGGCAATGGAAACCGCGCTGCCCCCCCCCGTTTTTTCAGCGACTTCCAACCCCGGACCCCCGACGCCATGATTTCTTCATGACGCGACCCCCGAAGGTCCGGACCCATTCCCCGGGACCGGCTTCTCATCCTGAGTCGTTTTTGGACGGACCCGAGGCCCAGTGAGGGCCCCTCAGAGGCCGAAGATAGGGCAAAACCCACCGTCGCGAGTTTTTCATGCCTCGAGGGGGTCAGGGTCCAACCCAGGACAGGGTCAGGGAGGTGCTCGAGTCCATCGACGTGCTGGCGAACAGCGAGGTGCGAGCCTGGAGGGCCGCGCTGTGACGGCGCGGCGGCGCGGCGCGGCGGACGGCCGTCCGGGCGCGGGCCCGCGAGGGAGCTCTCATGGCGCCAGCATCGCAGAGCGGACTTCGTTCGGAGAACAATCTCATGGGCTTCAGTCGGGCCTGTCCCTACAATATCAACAACAATATCAAGAACAATATCAAGAACAATATATCGGATAACAATATCAATAACAACATCAAGAACAAAAATATCCAAAAAAAAATTATATGGGGATTGTTTTGGTATTCTGATGTTCGAACATGTTTGGGGTATGTTTTGAATTCTGCTTTTGGCTTTTGTTCAGAATCCGCCTGTAGGGGGACACGCCCGACCGAAGGATGGGCCGGGAGTGTCCTGGAGAATTTCGTTCCAGATTTCGAGGTGAATTTCGTGCGGATTTTCTGTTGGCCAGGAGTGAAGACCAAAAAGATTCCACGCGAAATTCACTTTGTTTTTCGCCCGCCGCTTCGGGCAAAAATCCACGCAGAAATAGGCTGCACCACGTCTGCAAGGCCGGTGCAATGAGGAGTTCCAGCCCCCTCCCCAAGCCAGGAAATTGCTGACCAGGACTTTGAGAACTCCGCCTGGCAAAGACGAAGAACCCAGACCCCCTCGAGTCGTGACAACATCTCGACGGGAGATGTTTTGCTATATATGGGCTGTGGGGGCCCTTAGCGGGCCTCGGTCAAAAAACGATTCAGGATGAACAACTGGTCCTAGGGAATGAGTCGAGACCTCTGGGTGTCGGCGTCATGAACAAATCATGACGTCGGGGGTCTGGGAATGGAGAATGTCTCTCCCCACCATGGCAGTTCTCCCGGGCGCGCCAGGGTACCAGTTTACCGAAGCCCCTCTTCAGGGGGCCCGGAGAGCTATTGGAGGGAGGGAGGGGGAGGGATCACGGGAGTGAGTGGATGGGGAGGAGGAGGAGGGGGGAGGTTCAGAAGCAGGCTGGAGCGGCAAACAGTTTCATAGACACAAGGTTCGGCTCCGCGCGGATTCCTTGTGTCGGCGTGACCTCCCCCCTGGCGGCGCCTCGGGCGCCGCCCCAGGCGCCGATCCAAAGGATCCGCGCGGACCTCTGAGAAAAAACAGTGTATGCAGTTGTTGGTTTCTTTCAAGAGGGGGGGGGATCAGCAGCGGCGGGGGGAGCAGGGACAGGGAGGGGGCGAGGAGCGGGAGGGGGAGGGCAGGGAGGAGCAGGAACAGAGGAGGACAGAGGATGATGAAGGGGAGCAGGGACAGAGGAGGATGACGAGGCCGAGAAGCTGGTGGAGGAGCAGGTGGAGTGGGAGGAGAGAGACCGTGCTGCGCAGTGATCCGGGCGGCGCCTCTGGTGTCCGACTCTTTCGAGGCGCGGCGCAACAAGCGGGGTCTCAAAATGATTCCACCATCGCCACCCGTTGCAGCCTTGCGCCGTGCGCGCTGCAGTCTACGCCCTCTCCTTGCACGCGGCCCGGTGACGCAATGCTCCCTGATCCCTCGGCGGCAGCCGATCGCCTATCTAAGGCGCACTATGGGGGCAGTCCTCTGGACCAGAATTCGCATGAAGTCCTCTGAACCAAAAGCAGTAGCCTACGTGTCCTTCTCCTCCTCCTCCTCCTCCTCCTCCTCCTCCTCCTCCTCCTCCCTCCTCCCTCCTCCGCCTCCCTCCTCCTCCCCCTCCTCTTCCCTCCTTCTCCTCCTCGCTCTCCTCCTTGGGTAGAGCGTTGCCGAGTGGGATCCCCTTCCAGGGGCTAATCGATTGTCCTCGATGCGCGCAGTACATCGGTCGTCTGTGCCGCGCGTTGCAGGCCACTCTCGAGGCTTGTTTGGTCGGTCAGCCCGTAATTCGACTGCGGGCCGAGACCGATTCACCATACAGTGGAGACCCATGCCAAGAAACACCCTGCTTGCTTCCAGGGTTGTGTGCCTTGGGTTTCGATGGTTTTGCGATGGAAAGCGCGGCGGTGCCACACCAAAAGTCACTGGACGTCCTGGGGTCTCAGGTAGGGTTTCGTGTGGAAGGTTTCTGGTGGTCAGACCCCTACTGTATCCGCTTCTCCTCGGTGCAGTTTTCAGTCTTCGCGTCAGGCCTGGGTGATCGCCTCGCTTGGGTCTCTCGCGACGGTGGCATCTTCGTCTGGCGCTACATAAGTGACCACAGCGCGACCGTCCCAGCCGAGGGCTTGGCCGACACCCCTGGCCTTTTCGCTGGAGGGGTTTGGATCCTGCCCGACCGTGTCAGGGGAGCCGGCATGGGGTGGGGATCCCAGACCTCGGGCGGATGGTAATGGGAGGCCCCAAATGGGGGTTGAAGAAAAAGGCGTCTCAGCGCGGGCCCCGTGGCCACCACCAGTTTCTCCAGGAAGAGCAAGTTCCCCCGGAACAGGGGTTGGGACCTCTGGGGCCGCGCGTTGAAACCATCTGATCGTCGGATGCTGAGATTGCTTCGGGTTAGGGATCGTCGACCTCCCAATCCCCGGGGGCGGGAGCGAGGACGGTGACAGCACGACATTTTTGAGCTCAGGAGGGGCTCTCGTTGTCGGACCGCTCCTTCGAGCTAATGATTGGTTTGGAAGCGTGCTCGTGACCGAGGCCAGCCGTGGCCAGAAAAGCCCTCCCTCCCTCTCTCTCTCTCTCTCCTGCTTCGCAGCGTTCCCTCATGGCACTAAGTGAGGCATGTCCCTCTACAGGAGGGATGTCCCAACATAGCCGAAACTCAGTCTGGGGACAAATAGTTCGACTCTGGTATACTATTTTTGTATATCGTTAGGCTATCTTGATGTTTGTCCAAAGTCCGCCTGTACGGGAACATGGGGACATGCCCGACCTGATCGTGGCAGTGCGAGCCGTTCTGTGCTCCTCAAGTTTGGGCCAAGTTCCCGAGCCGCTCCCTGTCCTGCGCCCGTCCGCCGCTCTATGGGTCGGGAACTGTGGCTTGGCGTGACCCCCCCCTCTCTCTCCTTCTTCTCACCACCCACCAAACCACCCCAACCCAACCCGAAGGCTTCAAATTGACCTCCATTTCCAGTGGGGGGGGGGTCGGGGAACATCGAAAAAACACGTATGGAACCCATACCCCCCCCCAACCCGAAATTCGGGTCTTCGGGTTGGGTTGGGGTGGTCTGTTAGGTAGTCATCTTCGCAGCGTTCCCTCATAGCAGCACGATCGCCGTATGCGAGCCGCTCTGTGCTCCTCAAGCTTGGGTCAGGTGCCCGAGGCGCTCCCTGTCCTGCGCCCTTTCCGCCGCTCCAGGGGTCGGGAACGGTGGCTTGGCGTGCCGCGCCGCCGGCTCTGGCCCACCACGCTTCGGCGCGGCACACTGACCACGGCTCAGATCCCAGGCGTCAGCGTCCCGAGCCTTTCCCCGCCTCCCGCCCCGCGGAGCGGAGCGACACGCTATCCTCGGCGGCGAGCCCGGGGGGGAAGTGAGAAGGAGAAGGCCTTGTCAGAAGGCTCGGGAGTCCCCCCTGCCTTCGGAGAAGTTTTCTGTAAGCCCTCCCCGAAGACGCGCACACAACCTCTCAGAAGGCCGAAGGGCTTCTGAGGAGGCCCGCTGCCTTCTGAGGAGGCCTTCTCCTTCTCACATCCCCCCCCTTGCTCGCCGCCGATCTCCGCTCGCAGGGCACGGCGTGCCGCCGGGGCCGCCGCCGCGACACTCCGAGCAAGGACTCCCGGCAGCAGACTCCCCCGGGATGGACGCGGCCGCCGCCGGCCGGGGCGCCGCCGTGGCGCGCGCGGACTCGCACGACGCACTGGAGCTCGAGGAGAGGATGCGTCGCGCCGGCGAGAGGCGGGCCCCTCTCCTCGCAAGGTCTCCCCCCCATTGCCTTGGTCTAGTATTTTGACTCTTTTCATTTTTCCTCCAAATCCGCCTGTAGGGGGGCATGCCCGACCTAATTCTAGGGCTCCCAGATGGGGTCGGAGTAAATGAGGTCGGAGGACCGCGCCGCCTCGCCGAGGCATCGCCGATGCGGCTCGGATGTGGAGCCCCATGTGCTTCACGTCGACGTCGCCGATGCATCGCCGACGTCGGCGATGCATCGCTGGTGCACCCTCGATGCATCGCCGATGCATCGGCGATGCGGCGCGATCCTCCGACCACATCTACTCCGACCCAACGTGGCGTATACCTTTTTGATCCGTTTCCCCAGGGACCAACGCAAAATGTGTACACCAGGGTCCCATATACACCAGGATCCGTTTTCCTGTGCAAATTTCATTGCAGGGCCGGAAAAAGCGTCGGTGGATAGAGTTCGGTTCCCTAGAGGAGGAGGGGGAGGAGGAGGAGGAGGAGGAGGAGGAGGAGGAGGAGGAGGAGGAGGAGGAGGAGGAGGAGGAGGAGGAGGAGGGAGGAGGGAGGAAGGAGGAGGAGGAGGAGGAGGAGGAGGAGGGAGGAGGAGGAGGAGGAGGGATGGAGGGATGGAGAGAAGGAGGGAGGGAGGGAGGGAGGGAGGGAGGGAGGGAGGGAGGGAGGAGGAGGAGGAGAAGGAGGAGGGAGGAGGAGCCCGAGAAGAAGGCGGGTTGAGGGGGGAGGAGAAGGTAGGTCGGCGCGTCGGCGCGAGCACGGAGCGGCCCTCCCCGCGGCGGCGCCTCTCGCGCGGGCCCTCCTCCTCGCAGCCCCCCGCCCCTGCCCCGAGAGCCGACGTCGCAACCACATGGCAGCACAGCAAGGGAACGCGACCGGAAGCCTTGACCCCAGCTTTCCGCGGCAGTGTCTCGAGCTTGGCCGATCCGTGAGGGCCTCGCGGCCGAAGCCGAGCGGAACGGCGGTGCGTCGCCATGAGGCGGTCGGGTTCTGAGGGAAACGGGTTGTGCTTTCCATATTTTGCTGTTCGGGCCCCATGCTTAAGCTGGTCCGAAAGGCAAAGCCCCCAGGGGTCCGGGACCCGTTGCCCTCAGGGCGCGTTGCTTTTGTGGTGATTGTGTGCTCGGCCCTGCGCGCTGCGGGCTGCTGCTGCCCCCCCCGGCTGCTCATCGTCAAACTCTTCGGCGTCTGAGCGTCCTTTCTTCCTCTTGGCCGTCCCCCTTTTCCCTCTTTGCTCGCCAGCCAATTCGGAAGTGTGTGCCCCTATCGAGCTTCTCGCTGTAGCGGAGTTCGCCGCCTCGCCGCTGACGAAAAAGTTACTCTTTCCCCTTCCCTCCTCTCTCCTCTCTTCCCCTCCCTGCTCGCCCTCCCCAGACCCTGTTCCGCTCGTTTTTGGAAAGGGTCGAGAGATCCCGTCACGAAAAAAGAAAAGCAATAACCATGAATTCTCGAGGCTCGGGACGGATGGCGACGGCCGGTTCCGCCGACCCTGAATGACGACGGCGACGACGACGAGCGCTCTCAGGGGGGGCCTCTTGGGGGTGGTTTGGGGGCCTCATGGGAAGCTCTTGGGAGCCGCTTGGGAGCCTCGTGGGGGCGTCTTGGGGCTTCCTGGGGGTCTCTTGGGGGTCGTGAAGCTCGGGACGGATTTCTTGGATCTGCGCTGGACCCCCTGGTCGGCGCTTCCTGGGCCGCCCTTGGCGCGCCGCGCGCGCCAAGGAGAGGGGCTCAGCGCCGCTCCAAGAGATCCGCGCGGACCTTCGAAAGAGTACACAGTCAACCCGCACAGTAAGGTTGAGCGACTTTCCAAGGTTACCCTTGCATCCTCTCCCTTCGGGCCATCCTTGGCCGTTTTCGCTGGCCGCGCCCCGCCCGCGAATTGTCAACATGGCCTTCCAAGGACTTTGCATCCTTATCGCGCGTCCTTGTTATGCGGGTTGACTGTAATGCGGTTGTTGTTTCGTCTGTCCTCTCCCCGTCCTCCCTGCTCATCCTCCTGCCTCCCCGCCATCGCATCGTTCCTCCTTCCCCCTCCTCCCTGCCTCCCCGCCATCGCTGCTCTCGGGGTCGGCCTCCTACCTCCTACCCTCTCCGACTCCCTTCTTGTGCTCATCCGCGCTCGTTTCCTCCTCCTCCTCCTCCTCCTCCTCCTCCTCCTCCTCCTCCTCCTCCTCCGCCTCCCTCCTCCGCCTCCCTCCTCCTTCTCCTCCCTCCACCTCGCCCCTCCTCCTCCTCCTCCTCCTCCTCCTCCTCCTCCTCCTCCTCCTCCTCTCCTCCTCCCCCCCTCCCTCCCTCCCTCCCTCCCCCCCTCCCTCCTCCCTCCCTCCCTCCTCATCCTCCGCCTCGCTCCTCCTCTTCCTCCTCCTCCCCCCCTCCTTTCCCGCCCTCCTCCAGATCGGCACGTGGCTTCGCCCCCCCCCCCCAACGTCCGCTGCGCTATTGGGAGGCCTCTCCCCTCGGCTCCTCCTCCTCCTCCTCCTCCTCCTCCTCCTCCTCCTCCTCCTCCTCCTCCTCCTCGACCTGGCGGCACCGGGGAGGCGCAAGAGGCTGAGCGACCTCGAGGGCATGCACCTCGTCAGCTGCACCACCCAGTGGAGCTCGTGCAGCGAAGGCGAGCACGCCCCGTGCGGCTACGCCCGCTCCAGCTCCGACAGTTCTCTGGACTCCGAGGACTTCGGGGGGTAGGGGGCGGGAATCAAGCAGTGGCGAGGCATCCTGCCCTACCGAAAGCGGGCCCCAGGAATGTTGCCTGCAAGCAGCGCTCCAAGTGCAGTCCTAGCCGAGGCAGTCTTGATTCAAGACACCCGTTTTGCGTATGCTTTTCTTCGGGGAGCTCATTTGTGTTAAAAGCAGTTCGTGGTAGGCCAATGGGAATACCGGGAGGGTCGACCCCTGCTCAAAGGGAGCATGGGCGTTCTACCACAGCCAGGCGCAGTCGCGGTCCAGGTTGAAATCTCCGAAGCAAAGCCAGCTGAGATCTTCGCCAAGGAAGCAACATCGCCATGAAGCAATCTGGTGCTGATGGAGGGGGTCCTGAGGTTGTTGGATGCTTTTGTGCCTCCGGGGGCCCTCCCGGGGCTTCGGGACAGCTTGAGAACTCCTCAGGACGAACAGCTAACCACGGGGCAGTGCCCCCGTGACCAGGACCCGCTGTCCTCGGGTCCCGCGTGCAACGTGCCAATTGACAGGAGGTTGGCCTGGGTGCCTTTCCTTGTGCCGCTGCTTGATAGTCTCAGCTGCCCTGAAGCGCCCGTGTTAAAACGCAACGCGTGCCGTGTTCAAAACGTCCGTGCTAACACGCTGCGTGCTGGTTCGGCAAGTGTTGGGCCATGTCTTGGCGAGCGTACCGCGCCAGACTTCTGTTTTCAGCCTGCTTGTAGAGCTGCGTGTCAACACGCTGCGTGCTGCATGCTGCGTATCGGGGCAGCTAAGCTGATGTTGCATCGCGCTGCACCTTCGGTGGGACAGGAGGTTGGCCTGGGTTCGGCCACGCGCAGAGGGGGGTGGGGGAAGGGGGGAGGGCTTCTTAGAAGCACCCCCTCTGCTTCTTCGAGGGCGCGGGCCTTGTCTATAGGTGTAAGGCCGGCGCCTTCCAAGAAGCAGCCTCCTTCTAAGAAGCCCTCCCCCCTCCCTCCACCCCCTGCTGCGCGCCGCCGATTGATGGTGCCTCGCGCTGCACCTTCGGTGGGACATGCCCGTCTTGCAAACTGCGGTCCTCTCCTGTGCCCGACGCTCGCTCGGCTCTGGCTCGGCGCGGGTTTGGCGCGGATCCGACGCGGATTCGGCGCGGAGTCGATGTTCGTTCGACGCGAACTCGCCAGTGGAGGGCCCATACATCCGACGATGCTGGTGTTCAATCCGAGGCCTCAAAGTTCTCGACCCCATCCCTGGGTACAGTTTTCGAGCAGGAGGTCGACTACATGACTGATTTGCCTCGAAGTCTTGTTCGTCGGGCATTCGATAGATATGTACGTAGCTGGATTCTTCGTATTGTGGATTCGACGAACATCTCATCTTGTTTCATTGAGTGGTACATCAACTCGTTAGTCGATCTCCTACTCGAAACTTGGCGTCCCGAGTCCATCCTTGACGTCCCCGGGGCACGAAGCGGGATGGGCTCCAAGGGGCCGAGATTGAGGAAACACGCGTGGGCTCGATCTAGAAGTTCCTCGGGGGTCAGGGTGCCTTCCTTTGTGTATGGTGTCTATTTTCTAACCGCGTGCCAGGCGGCGCTGTCTGCTATGTAACCATACAAACAGGGCGCCCCGCGGCCGAGGAGAGAGGAGGAGGAGGAGGAGGAGGAGGAGGAGGAGGAGGAGGAGGAGGAGGCGTGGCAGACTGCACGCACCTCCGCATCCCCTGCCCCCCCCCCCCTGCCCAACACTGACGCGAGGTAGGCATCGAAGTCCCCGAGGCACGCCCAGCGAGGACGAGAAACGTGACACGGGTTAAGGGTAAGTGGGCGAGGATGAGGGGCAGGACGGGCCGAGGGGGATGCGAAGGAGGGGTGCGGTATGCTTGTCTACCTTCCCAGGAGAGCGCCAGGAGCGACTTGCCCAGCGGCGCACCTGGCGACACGCACGGGGCTGGAATGGATGAGTCCTTCGAGTATCCCTTCGGCGACGACGACGATGACTACCAGATCGAGGCTGGAGCGTGAGAACTAATGCTTGAAGGCAGGTATTCTGGCAAGGGTGAGCTTCAACTGTTTGCAGAGCCTTGGCCCGTACAGCGGACCAGACCATGACATCAGTTCTCGTGCACCAAGATTTCGTTTTCCTCGCCAGCTCGAAGCAGGGCACGGAAGGGCAGGGGATTCAACATTCCCGTTCAAGCAAAGCACACCCAGATTCGTAGGTCGTTGGCATTATGATTATCTGTCACATCAGAGTGCAAGATTGCAAGCGTGGATCCCAAGCAGTTGGTTATTGTATTCTCGATGTGAAGTCAGTTGGGTGCAACATGTGCGGCGCCATCTATGTGGTGCAAGCTAAATGCGGGTCTTCATCTTATGCGGTACAATATAAGTACGGTGTGCAATCTATTGGACGCGGTTACAGCAGCTGATCCAGCTCTCATGCTTGATCACACCTCCCACCGACCCGCATGTTTTGGCAAACCTCCCTTGAACACGTGGCGCAAGGACTCTCGTAGATGCAGATGCATGGCTCGAGCGGGCGAGTGTTAGGTCGGACATGTCCCCCGACAGGCGGATTGTGGACGAAACAGCAAAACATATGCAAGGACACACAGATAGTGCACAACAAATCGAATACTCGCCCCCAAACTATGTTCTGACTATTTTTGAATATTCCTCCTGTAGAGGGACATGCCCGACTGAAGACGAGGGATGATGCTGGCGACGACGACGGCGGTGATGATGATGGTGGTGATGGTGGCGATGATGGCGAGGGCGACGCCAACGACGATGTTGATGACGATGGCGATGCCGACGGTGATGGTGATGATGATGGTGATCACGATAATGGTAATGCTGATGATGATAGTACTGGTGATGATCATGATGATGATGATGCTGAGTGCGATTGATGATGACCTTGGTGCTGGTGACGAAGATGGTGATGACCATGGTGGTAGTGGCAATGACTACGTTTGGAACCATGGTGCCGATGGTTCTCATTCGGACAATTTGGAAGTGTGCGCGCACAGGTACCTTGACATGTTTCTTTGTAGTGCCGTATGAACTGTCACGCGCGTTCGCTTTACATTGATGTTGCAGTGATTTCGACATGTGCGCGGGGGGCCGCGCGCGTGTGGTCCGCACTGCGTCTTGCGTGTGCGCGATGAATGTTGAATCAATTTTGCATGCGCGCGCGGGTGGCCGGCAGTGTCTCGTCTGGCAGATTGACAAACAGCAGTCCAATGTATTTCTTACGACTCCATCGGGCGCGCGCAAAGAAGCCCGCCAAATAATGTATTTATTTTGCCATCGCTGGACCCGCATCATAAGTTGTTGCATTGTGGATGTGTATGTGTAGCTATCTGGTGAAAGCTACGCGGTGTAAGCTACGTGGCGCAAGACATGTGGCGCGAGCTATCTGGTGCAAGCTAGGCGGTGCAAGCTATGTGGAGTAATGTGTGATCTGCGCAATGTCGTTTATGAGGAAGTTGTGCGGCGCCAGCCGTGTGGTGCAAGCCACGTGGTGCAAGTTATGCGGTGCAACCTGTGTGGTGCAAACTATTTCGTTCGACCTGTGTGTGTGTGTGTGTGGCGTTGGGTATTTGGTGCAAGCTATGCCGTGTAAACTGCGTGGTGCAAGGTATGTGATCAAAGCTATGTGGTGCAAGCTGTGCGGCCGCCCAGCGCGCGAGGCGCCCACCGGCGCCCACTGGCGGGCACCAAGCGAAATCTCGGCTTACCCACCCAGCCCACGAGGTGCCCACGAGGCGCCAACGAGGCGCCCACGGGCGGGAGCAGCCAGGCGAACCCTCGGCTGACACACCCAGCGCACGAGGCGCCCACGAGGCGCCCATGGGCGGGCACCATGCGAGACCTCGGTTGACCCAACTACACGAGGAACCTCCGTAAGGAACCCGCAATTAAGTATGTGCAAACATCGTTGAGGATCACGCGCATCACTTGCTTGATTGTTGTCGGTTGAAGATATCGTTAATACCGGTTGCGATGAAAATGATTGTGACACGTGCGCGCCTGGTCCACCCCACTATGTTCTTTGGTTCGGGCTTATTAGACACACACACACACGCACACTTGTAATATCAGAGCGAGTGCTCTGCATATGACTATTTGGCAGGAAGGGTGGTGGTGGTGGGGGGGGGGGGGGGGCGGGCGTGACTGAAATGACCGGAGCTCGCATCGAGGAAAACCATTCATACATCACAAATACGAATGCCAATTCGCAGAGGGGGAGTGTCCCGGCTTCGGCATGAGTGGTGGAGCCTAAGATTGGTTAGAGAGGAAAGCATGTTTGGTTCATTGTGTGAACGTTACGAGCTACGTGGCGCTGTCGTGGTCTGCAGTTCTATGAGGTGCAGGCTATGTTCTGCAAGACACGTCCTTCAACCCAGTGGGATGCAACTGTTTTGACAGCGGCCGCTCTCCGATGGGCCGAACTTGGGAGCCAGTACGGACGCCAGGTGCGCGACGCTTGCGAGGTGCGGCGCGCTGGCCAATGGGCGCCCCGCTCACCTGATGTGCCGGGCGTCCGACGGACCCAAGCGTGCCAGGCGCGCCTCGTGCTAGGTCGGGCGTGTCCCCCTACAGTCGGATCTGGGGCGACAAGTTTTTAACCACTCGAGAAAAATTCGAAGAAGGCAAACATTATTCCAATAATCGTCTCCAGACTAATGTTCGACTATGTTTGAATACTCCTCCTGTAGAGGGACGGGCCCGACTTGAGCCTAGTGCCGCCCAGTGTACATTGTGCTCCAAGCACGCAGGGGTGCGCCAGGTGCGCGTCGCGCGCAGAGCGCACCGTGCGCCAGCGCATGTCACAGCAGTCACCTCGGGCAGCATGTCGATCCCCTGAGATCCTGGCTTTGTGATCTGTTCACAACAGGCGTTTTCGCTAAATTTCGGGCCCCCGGGCCCTCATAGATCGATCGGGCAAGGAAAGTAATGCAGAAACATGGGGTCTGGGGCTGCAGTCGCGGTTGTTTGCGATGTTGTGCAGTCGGATCGAAGGGTCCCGAACCGTGTTTGTCGCCAGTCGAGGGGGGAGGGGGTATTCGTTAATGTGGAGCAGCGGTGAGCCCTTCGCCGAGGGGGTGTGAAGAGGAAGCCCTAGTCCGCGGTGAGATTACTTGTCGTGGCGCAGAGCGCGGTATTGAAATGCCAGCAGGAGATGGATATTCGTGGCTTCATTTTTGCACAACGGATCAGATTGCGTCGTGTATGTTAAAGGCCTCCTGCGTGTCTTCAAGAATCCGAGGGCATGTCCATGGTCTTCTGTGCTCTGTGGCGGGCCACAACCTAATCTATTTCAAACGTTGCCCTGTGTGTTCTTGTGTGTTCCTGGCCGGACAAAGAGTGTATATTACGCCTCGCTGTGGGAGATGCGCTCTCCCACCAAGGCTGCCGTCGCTGCGGAGACGCCGGAGGGGCCCGTGCTCTCAGGATCCTGCGAGAACGACCAGGGCTGGAGGCGAAGGAAGAGTGACGACGTCGTCGGGGACGACGAGGGCGAGACAGCCTGGACTGAGTCGATGCCCTTGCCCTCAGTGGGGTCGCAGCTGCATGCCAGCGGGCAGTGTAAGCCGTGCGCTTGGTACTGGAAGCCGGGCAGCTGCCAGAACGGCGCGAGCTGCCTGCACTGCCACGAGTGCCCCGAGGGCGAGATCCTGGATCGCAAGAGGAGCAAGGTCAGCACCATCTGACCGATCCCCATCCCCACCCAGTCATGGTCGTGGTGCCTCGGCCCCACCAGCCCACGCCGTTCCCCCAGGAGGGGGCAGGCCCCGCCAAACCCGAAGGGCACAGCCCACATCTCCAGCCAGGAGCAAAACAATCGGCCTGTGGGGCAACGGCCATGCCAGTGGGGTTGGGGATCGGTCGAGCGATGCTCACAGCCCAGGCATGATCCCGTCGTGGAAAAAATCAGGACGGGCGTTTTTTCCACAATTTTCGGGCCCTGGGGGCCCTCGCCGGGCCTCGCGAGCGTCAACAAAACGGCTCAGGATGAGAAGCCGGTCCTGGGGAACTGGCCCAGACTTCCGGGGGACGCCGTCCCGAAAAAGATCAGGACGGTCGCATGCCTGGGAAGGTCAAGGAGCTGCGCCTGAGCGGCGTGCGCAGGGCGGCCACCGACGGTGCCTGCCACCAGGTCGTCTCGAGGAGCCTGAGCGCCCGCGTGCCCGCGCCCACGCCCCTGGCTCCGCCCGGCGACTTCACGCAGCCGCGCGCGATGGGCGCGACGCAGTCGTTGCCGCTGCCCCCGGGCCTCCAGGCGGAGGAGAGGAGGAGGAGGAGGAGGAGAGGAGAAGGAGGAGGGGGAGGAGAGGAGAAGGAGGAGGGGAGGAGGAGGAGGAGGAGGAGGGGAGGAGGAGAGGAGAGGAGAGGAGGGAGGAGGAGGAGGAGGAGAGGAGGAGGAGAGGGGGGCCTGCCCAGGCCTGCGCAGGCTTTCGCGGGCCCTCCCGGGCTAGGCCGCCCCAGGCCTTCCTGGGCTGGGCCGTCCTGGGCCTGCCCTGGACCTGCCTCTGCCGCCCTATCGCTTGTCCCCGGGCCCTGCCTGGGCCTTCCCAGGCCGCCCCGGGGCCCTCCCTGGGCCGACCCAGGGAGGGAGGGAGGGAGGGAGGGAGGGAGGGAGGGAGGGAGGGAGGGGGAGGAGGAGGAGGAGGAGGAGGAGGAGAGGAGGGAGGAGGAGAGGAGGAGGAGGAGGAGGAGGAGGAGGAGGAGGCATTCTTGTTCCCTGGGCGTAAGTCGGGCCTGTCCCTCTACAGGAGGCATGTTCTGTTTAGCGAAGTGTTCTGATGACTGTTACGCGTTTTGGGCGTACGTTTGGGGCATCTGGAATGTTTCGCCCCAAATCCCCCTGCAGGGGGACAGGCCCGACCTGACCCTTGGCTTCACCCCAGGCGGCGGCGCTGGCGCCGCCCCCCGGCTTGGAGCTCGAGCCGATGGCCGTCGGGCGCGACGCCTCGGCGGCGCCCCTGGAGGCCGCCCCTGCGCTGTGCCTCCCGTCGGTGGGCTCCTCGCTGCACGCCTCGGGCGCGTGCAAGCCGTGCGCGTGGCACCTCACGGGAGCGAAAGAAGGACGCACTCGCACTGGCACGTGGTCCCACGTAGGTTTCGAAAGCACGCAGTGCGCGAAAGCTCGTATCACGAGGCTGGTCTCGCGGACTGGGGGGCCGTAGTCGTGTAGTATATGGTTGGGCGCGTTCGTCTTGCGTGGGCTCCCTGATCTCAGGAGGGCGCAAATTGCGCACCGCACAGATCCTGGGCAGGCCAGCCAGGATCTGCGGGGGACCTCCTCTGCCCCGACTCTTGCTGCATCTTTTGGCCCCCACGGCGCCTCCGATAGCCTCAGAACGGGCCTCGGATACCCGTGGTGTGGTCTCGGATGCCTTCGAACGGAATGGCCCCGGGTAGCCTCGGAATGGCGTTGGATAGCCTCGGCTGCCCTCGGGTGGCTCCGGATACGGCGCGGATGGCCCAGTCAAGGGGGGGAGCAGAGGAAGTCCCCAATAAATTCAGCATGATGCAGACCCATCACCAGACCTACAGCGTCCTGAGAAATACCATGCAGAGGTTGTTTCGCCATCGCTTGCGTCCAGTGGCCCTATGCCAGGCCCTGGGGCCGTAGCAAAATCGGGGGAAGGAGTGCAGATATCTGAAGGTCGACGTCGTGAACAACATCCGATCCAGGCCCATCCTGGGACCAGGCTGGGTGCAGGTGCCTCCGTGGCAAAGCGAGTAGGGCGGCTCTGCCGACCCCGGGAACCAGTGAAAGTCCCGGCCAGCACAGGCAGTGGTGCACTCAGTGGTGCTTGTGCCCCCCCAGGTCGACCCCCGAGGATGTGTTGCTCTCCACATCCTAAGTGGGTTTCACGTCTGTTCCATGGACACCCCGCGCAGCCCTCACAGCTCACATCACACCCCGTCCTGCCCTCATCATCATCATCATCATCATCATCATCATCATCATCATCATCATCATCATCATCATCATCAGCATCATCATCATCATCAGCAGCATCATCAGCATTATTATCATCATCAGCATCATCATCATCATCATAATAATAATAATAATAATAATAATAATAAGAATCATAATAATAATAATAATAATAATAATAATAATCCTCACCAGCATCATTATCATCATCAGCAGCAGCAGCAGCAGCACCATCATCATCGCCACCATCATCACCACCACCACCACCATCATCATCATCATCATCATCATCGTCCGCATTAGCATTATCAGCAGCATCATCGTTATCGTCATCGTCGTCTTCGTGTTCATCAGCATCAACACCATCATCATCAGCATCATCAGTATCAGCATCATCAGAATCATCATCGTTACCAGCATCAAATCATCATCATCAGCACCAGCATCCTCAGCATCATCATCAGTATTATCGTCATCGTCATGACCATAATCACTTATCATCAGCGTAGTCATGCTCCTTATCATCATGACCATCAGTACCAGCATCATCACCACCACCATCAGCACAGCACCACCACAACCATTATTAGAACCATCAGCGTTATACATACTTATATGCAGTCACACTAGCATGTCAACCACCACCATCATAAGCATCATCAGTATCACCATCGCCACCACTAGCATCATCATCCTCATCAGCATCAACATCACCAGCTCACACAATATCTACAAACTCATGAACAAGCTCACTGACACTCACACACTCACACATGCCTCTTGAGGAAGTCTCGAGCGGGAGCCTCACCTGTGATTGAAGTGTGCCGATGTTTCAGAAGGGACCCCCCCAGCGCGCATGTGTGTATATATAATACATTCGCTAGATCATGTTAGCAATCCGAACGGGCCAACTAAAACCTGTAACCGTCGTCATTTTGGGGCTCCCGAGGCGTGGATGTAGAGGAAGTCTCGAGCGGGAGCCTCTTGTGTAAGTGGATTGTGAGGAAGTCTCCGAAGGAAGCCCCTCCGTATGGGTCCGGCAGATCATGATAGACATCCGAGCGGGTCATCCGAATTTTGTAGCTGTCGTCTCTTTTGGGCTCCTGAAGCGTGGATCTGGAGGATGTCTCGAGCGGGAGCCTCGTCTGCGAGTGAATTGTGAGGAAGTCTCAGAAGGGAGCCCCCTCGGTATGGGGCCGGGAGATCACGTTCGGAATCCGAGCGGGACATCCAAGTCTTGTAACCGTCGTCGCACTGGGGCTCCTGAGGCGTGGAGTTTGGACGAAGTTTCGAGCGGGAGCCTCGTCTGTGGGTGATTGGTGAGGAAGTTTCAGAAGGACCCCCCTCCGTATGGGGCCAACAAATCGGCCGCGGTGCGAGGAGTGCGGGTCAGGCGAGCCGTTGCGCCTCCGCTGCCCACTGCGCGAGTGTTAGATGCATGTGCGCGGCTTCAAGGGGCACCCGATCTACCCGGACGTTGCCGAGTTGCTCCTACGGGATGCCGAAGGCATTGACGACGACGGCCAGGCTGAGGCGCGGGCGCGGAGGTTGCTGATTTCCAGGCCCAGCGAGCAGGAGCTCACGTGGCACAGCTCGGGGCCGCACGCCGCGCGCCGTTCGGGGCGCATCCTGATGCACGCGCCCCGCCTCACTTCAACGCTGTCGCAGGGTCGCACGCTGCGCAAGAGGCCATTTCTTTATTGCGCGGGGCATGACGGGCGTCATTGCCCCCGCTCTCCCCCCCCCCTATGACGTAACGCTCCCCCCCCCCCCCAGCACGCTCGGGGCACTACCGCCGTGCGCATTGGGATCCGCGTAGGTGTCCGCGTAGGAATCCGCATAGGTGTTTGGTCCGCAGGCGTCGTCGTCGTCGTCGTCGTCGTCGTCGTCGTTCGTCGTCGTCGCTCGTGGTTCGTCGCTCGTGGCTCATCGTCGTCGTGCGCGCGGACGCGGCTGGAGCCTGTTTTTAAGTCTGGGCCGATGACGGCAATCATTTGGGGGGGAGGGGGTCAATGACGTCACGTTTCGCGCCGGCGGCGTTTGGGAATGGTTAGGAATGACGGAGGACGGTTACCACGAACATGTTGGTGGCGATATGCACCACAATGCGTGTGTACATCACAGTGCCCGCGTGCACCGCAGTGCCTGTGTACACCACACCGCCGATGTACACCACAGCAGCGGCGTGCAACACAGCGTCAGTTTGTGCCACCGTGCCTGCGGGCACAGCAGTTCCTGTGTACACCACAGCGCCTCCGTACACCACATCAGCCGTGCGCAACACAGCACCAGTGTACACCACAATGCCTGCGTACATTGCAGTGCCTGTGTACGCCACGGCGCCTGCGTGCACCACATCAGCCGCGTGCAACACAGCACCATTGTTGTGTATAGAATTTCAATAGGAATCCTTGTGGCAAAATGGAGCGCGTATGGGTTCCAGAGAAAACAATGGAAAACAAATCCTCATGGACAAAGGAGCGCCGCTGGAATCTACGGTCCCCCCGAGTCCGCCCGCATCACCCTAACTCCCATGTGCGTCCAGGAGGCTCCAGCTAAATTGGCCGTCAGAGAACCAAGTGGACTGATTCAATCGACCATTCTGCGGTGCACGCTGGGTTGCACACGTGCGTTGTAACGCCAAGCCGCACGACAGGGGGTAAGAAGGAGGAAAAGGAGGACGAGGAGGCGGAGGAGGAGGTGGAAGAGGAGGGAGGAGGGAAAAACGTCGCATTTGATAATTCGAAATTTTCCTGGCGTGGCGTTTACTTGTCCGCATCAGATCCTGACGTACATGCTCTTTCTTCCTGTCCTATGCACGCAGGCGCTGTGGTGTACACCGGCGCTGCGTTGCACGCGGATGTTGTGGTGTAGTCAGGCGCTGTGGCGTGCACAGGCGCTGCGGAGCACGCAAGCACTGTGGTGTACACACGCGTTGTGTTGCACATGGCTGTTGCGGTGTATGTACACCGGCGCTGTAGTGCTCCCAAGTATTGTGGTATACACGGGCGGTGCGTTGCACACGACTGCTGCGGTGTACGCGGGCGCTGTGGTGCACACGCGCGGCGTGGTGCACGCGAGCGTTGTGGTGCACACAGGCGCAATGGGCAGATCGCCACTTACATGCTGCTCGCGTCGCCGTCGTCGCTCGTCGGTCGTCGCTCGTCGCGTCGTGCGCGCGGGCGCGGCTGTGGTGCCGGAGCCACACGGCGGGGGGGGGGCGTCACGTCATACCCCCCCCCCCGCCCTCCCCCCCCCCATGACGCCCGTCATCGCCGAACATAAAGAAACGCCTTCCAGGGGCGTCACCGTCGATTGTGCCAGGGATAAGGACGCATGCCGCACGGGCATGCCAGACGACCGGTGGTGGCTGCATTCTACGTCATTTTATAATACCGCGCCCCGCGCGAACGCGGAACAAACTGATCCTGCCGCCGCCCGCGCGCGAGTTTCTGGAGCGCCAGCCGCCGGCGTCTTCGGAGAAGGCGTTCGGGGAGCTCGACCAGAGAACGGCGAGCCCCTAGCCTGAGGCCGAGCAGCTCGCCGCAGAGCGTGGTTTTGCGCTGCCTCCCGCTTGGGCGCGGCCGCTCCCCGCTCGAAGCCCGCGCGTTTGTCCCGACGGCTTGGTCTTGCGCGCTAGCGGCCCGCGAATTGTGCCCGATGGCGCGGCTCGCGAGGTTTCCCCCGCGGCTTCGCGGTCTGGCCATCGGACAACGCGCCCCTGCCCGCCGCAGCGGCGACGGCGCCAAGGAACATCGATGCGCGCCCATTGCGATGGGAGCGGGGGGGGGCGGAGGGCGAGGCAAGGCAGGACGGCGAGGAGGAGGAAGAGGAGGAGGAGGAGGCCAAACAGGGGGCGGGAGGAGGGCCTTCGCCAAGGGCGGGGGAGAATGGTGCAGAGGAGGCAGGAAAATCACTTCCGCAATCACAGGAGCGACGATGAGCCACGCCAGCCGACAAGATTACCACGCGACGGTCCGACCGTCGGAGTAGTTTTTTCAATAGATGACCCCAAGGAGGAGGAGGAGGAGGAGGAGTAGGAGGAGGAGGAGGAGGAGGAGGAGGAGGGGGAGGAGGAGGAGGAGGAGGAGGAGGAGGAGGAGAAGGAGGAGTCCTGGGGACGAT